TTATGTTACTGCCATATTATACGCCTAACTGTTCCCAGACGAACGTCATCCTTCAGATCAGCGACTGCGTACTACAAGCTCATTTATGTATAGGTGCCGTAATGTCAGACTACGAACAGCAACTAGTATTGTCAACGAAGACGCCACATTGGTACTTGTCACATCCGGACAACACTTTGATAACTACAAGCTCATTTATGTATAGGTGCCGTGCTGGCAGACCAAGAAGACGCCATATTGGCACTTGTCACATCCAGGCAACACTCTGAATACAACTATTAATTGATTACCACCATTTCATAACAATGTTAGAATGTTAAATCTTATTTGCATTTGAGAATAATTGTTGTTGTCGTGAAGCAGATTGGTTTAAAATGTTTAATTTTCTATTGGCTACACTTTTATGATTAACATTTTTGGTGTATGATGCATATCAATAAGAATTTATAAGGCGTGACCTTGAAATTTACCTTGAATGACCTCAATGAGACTCTTCAAAGGGTATCCCACATCACCTCATTCCACATCACGAACAATTACTTTCGTATATCCCTCTCCATTTCTGAATTATTTGCCCAACAATGGACTTCTAAATCACACGGTATATATTGAAGAGTTTGGACAGGTATCCACATTCAGCACGTTCCTTTTTTTTTTGTGGGCCTGGTATAGCCTGATGGTTAGGGCACTAGAGTCGCGATCTGCGGGTCGTGAGTTCGAAACTCGTCCCCGAACATGTTCGTCCTTTCCCCTGTGGGGGCGTTATAATGGTACTGTCAATCCCATTTTTGGTTGATAAACGATTAGCCTAAGAGTTGGCGGTGAGTGTTGTTGACTAGCTATCTTTCCTCTAGTCTATTACTTCTAAATTAGGGACGACTACCGCTGATAATCCTCGAGTAACTTTCTCGAAGTACAACAAACAAACAAATCATTTTTCGTGACAAGGAACTAAAGGCAGGCATTTCCAAGTACTATCTATTGGAGCTTTAACGAACAAATAAATAATAGTAAACATTTACTAACGTCATTGTGCAGTCTCGAAACGCGAGAACTTTAATAATAGTTTACAATAATGATTTGTAAAGTGTTTTATCTTTTACGTAAGTAATCATATTTGAACACATCTGAGTCATGATGTAGACATGGTGGGCCAACAGCAATGCTTGTAAAAGTAACTTTAGTGTTATGGTTTACCAAATGTCGGAAGTTGTTTAATTACGATAAATTCTAACTCGACAAACTGCCTAAAGCAGTAAGTAAACGTTTTAATTCCCTAAGGTTACAGAAAAATACTGAAATAGATCCTACTCAATAATTATTATATATATATATTGAAACATATGCTACACGGATTGCTCAGTGGTAAGCATGAGACATTATAACTCTAATTTAAGGGGTTCTATCTCTATTGCGCGTATGGAACATATAGTCCATAATGGATAGTTTGGTGATTAACAACAAAACAGGAAATAAATCGAAA